TTTCAATTTGGGGCTTTTTAATTCAAAATCAAATCTGAAAATTTATATACAAAATACTTATTATTAAACACCATAAAATCATCACAAAACCCAAAAACAATAATTAGATTAAAGCTAGATTGAAATAAAAATCAAAGAACAATAATAATAACTTTTTTTTTTGTAAACCACCGGCGCACAACCACCAAAGCTGGCTGCCGCCGCCTGGTGGCTGCTACTGCCGACGAGTATTGTTGGTGGTGGCCGCCGGCCAGTGGTGGCGTGTGGTGGCCGGCCTGCGTGTGTGGTGTGTGTTTGGGTGGTGATTAAAATAAAATAAAATAAAATAAATTAAAGGGGAAGGGGAAAAATTAAGGGGAAAAGAAAATAAGAGGAGAGAGAGAATTTACCTTTGGGTGCACTCTACCTTAGTCATATGATGGGTATTTATACCCCTTCTCAAATTCCTCCTACTTAAAATTCCTTTACTTCCCTTACTGATCACTTTCCTAGTCAAACTAGTATTTTGACTTTAAAAATTATCTTTTTATAAAATAATATGCCCTAATATTTTTAAATCATGAAATAAAATATTTTCAAGATTATTAAAAAATTAAAAATAAACTTTTAATTAAAGTAATTCTTTTTAAATTAATGAAAACACCATAAATAATTCATTTCGAATTATTTAAATACTTTTAGGAAATACTTATTTAAATTAAAATACGTATAAAATTACGGGGTATTACACTGCCCCTCCACCTAGTGTAAATAAATATCCACTAGTAGATTTCGTATCCTTAGAGCAAGTTATCCAATTTACATCACTATAACCTTCAATTACAGTAGGATATTTAGTGTAATGCAAACCAAAATTTTGAGTTTGCTTTAGATAACCCAGGATATTTATTGATACTATACGAAACTAGTATTAAAGAAACAAATAATTATATATCTATTATATAATACAAATAAAACATAACACATACCTTTATAATTGATTCAAAATGTAGAGTATTATGACCCGAGCCCAACAAATCACGTTGTGTCCTTAAGACAATTTTGCTCCCTCTATGATACCCAAGGTTATTGACCAATTGTCTCCCATAATAAAACAGGTTTTGTTTCTTATAAAATGGTATTGTAATTATAAGAAACCAACGAACAAACTAGATTAAAGTAACTGCAACTATATACATGTAAATTAGAGGGAGTAATTTAAACTAATGTTCAGTACCCATAAATCAGAACAACCAACAATTATCTATAGAAAAATAAACATGGATGAAAAGGTGCAAGTAATGAACGACACAACTATTCATTATAACTAATGAATAGTTAATGAAATAGCACAACTATTCACATTAAAAATTACCATTGAAAAGTTACAGTTATCCAAATATACAATCCAAATAGTCATACAAATTGTCATACAACACTAGTCTACATTAGATACATAATTCTTCATTAATACAAAAATATTTACAAAATAAATATCCAACATCAATAATTGTCCTACAAGCTACTAGTCAAAGTTTGGGTGCAGACCCAAGATATAGATAGGGTATTGAGGCCAATTTTGCTAAACTTTAATGGTAAGAAAGTCACTTCACAATTAAAGATTATTCTGTTTACTTTAAAATAATATATTTAGTAAATTTAATTTTAGTTCAATAAAAATAATTTCGGTTCAGTAAATAGTTTCAATTCTGTAAAATAATTTCAGTTTGCTAAAAATCAGTAACTTTCTAGAACAGATAATCATTAAACATAATTTAAATTTAGCAAAAATAATACGACCTTATTTATTTTCAATTACAACCATAAAAAAAGTTGAACAATCCACTTGATACACTAAATTATATTGTGTTTTACAGATATCCTTCTCAAATATATATCAATAATATGGTTATTGTCTGCATCACGTTGGATACGCAATAATACTTTAAACTATATCACATCGGATACGCAACAATACCTTAAAACCATGAACACTTCAAGTTGACACCACTAAACATTGTTGAAAAATCACTTGAGATTTTAATTGCACAAAAAGTAAACAGGGTCGATTTCCTATATTAATTAAGATTGTCATTTATAGAGTAATACCTCAATCTCCTTCATAACTTATTAAATCAAATCCATTAAGATATACAAACTTTAAATTATGTCTTTCAACTGCATCCATAGTGCTATATAAGGAGTTTTCGAGGAAATAAAAATTTCAAAACAGCACTAACTACTAATCCACTGAATAAGAAAAGTTATGGCAACTACTAAGAAGTTCATGGCACTAGTCGTTGATGATGACTCTGTTAATAGAGCTATCAATCTCAAGTATTTGACTAGAAATGGTTTTGAAACTGAAGTAGCTAAAAATGGGCAAGAAGCTGTAGAGTATTTTCAAATGGGCTACAAGTTTGACTTAGTGCTAATGGACATGGAAATGCCGATAATGGATGGCTTTCAGGTACAACATATTTACTATACACTATCTCCGTTTCTTATTACGTGCAACAAAGGAATATTTTATGTCTCACAAATAAAACCCCTTTGTAACACATAATAAGAAACGGAGGTAGTATATGTATCTATGCAAAATTTACATGCTTTAGTACATATACAGGGGATACAGGGGTGGTTTTGAGCATGTGCAGGGTGGTCGATCGCACAGAGCCCTTAGTGAAACTACTATGGCCCGGTTTTTGAATTTAGTAACATATTTTTCCTAAAAAAAATGATTTTAGGGCCCAATTTAACAAAATTACACCGAGCTACTTTCAGTGTTAGCATTTGCAGCCCCGTATCTGTACATATATAATCACAAACATTAAGTCAATCATTAACAATAAACTACATTATTATTAATACCAGGCCATGCAATTGTCATGATAGAAAATTTTACGTATAGATTCTAAATAATTTATTATTTTTTCATCTTTCCAGGCTACAATGGAAATTCGAGCTTTGGGTGTGAAAAGTTTGATCATAGGCATGTCATCAACTGCTTCTCAAGTAAAGATTCAAGAGTTTGTTAGTGCTGGGTTAGATGATTTCTACCCTAAGCCTATGAATATGGCCAAACTTATAGCCATTATTCGACGCCTTGAAGACTAAGCTAATTATGTATTGCATGCATTTTATATGAAGTGTAAGAGCGTGAAATTTGGAATGAAATAAAAGTTTATAATAAATCTTGGGAATTAATAAGTTGATTATTATCATTATGAATATTATAAGTTCATTAATGAATATTTTAAGCATTGAAGCACGTATTATGAAATCTCCATTAAAGTGGCTTGTGGACTTTATCCTACAATTGAAGCATTCTACATTGAAGTGGTTTATGAGTTTTTTCCTCCATCGAAGCAGTTTCCAAGCTTTCTCCTCCATTGAAGCACCACCATCTCAACACCAACCACTAACCCATTGTCGAAGGTACTTTATTTTTAAAGAAAAAGGGAACGCCCGGAGATAAAATTAGTATCCGAATTCGTAATTAATTGATTTTCGTCTAATGTCTTTGTCTTAACAATTCTAGCTTAATCCTTGTTCATGATAATCCCAAAGTCAAATTAATCTAAAAAGGCTATATTTTGCATGGTTTTACAAATGAAAATGTCAACTTTATTAATTCGAGAAAGCAAGGTCGGTCTTCATATCAAGGGATTTTGGGTTTATTAAATTTATTGGGAAATTGGGATTTTGATTTGGGGGTATAGTGTTGAATTAAATTAGACGTTTGGGATTCTTAAATCAATTTGGAGGTTAGAATTAAAATTGATGTTTAGTAATAATCAGGTTTAAAAAATTAGGGGATTAGGAATTTGAACTGTTTATCAATTGGGTTCAAATTAGGTTTTATCATTATTCGAATTAGAGTTCATAAATTATGGTTTAATTATTAAATTAGAGTACAGTTGAGCTTTTTGTAGGAGAAATTGGATAAAAAAAAAAAGAAAAAAAAAAGAAGAAGTTGGGGACCACAAAACAAAATAGTTATTTAGATGGAAACCGTTAGTGGGAGGGTTACCCTAACTTGTTCGGTTTTGCAAAAAAAAAAAAAAAAAAAAAAAAAAAAAAAAAAAAAAAAAATTAAATGTAGTTGTTTTCAAAAGTAGTACTTTAATAGGTATTTTTGACAAAATTTTCTAGTACTTTAGGGTTCGAAAACGATGATGTAATTTGAATTATCAAATTGATGATGTAATTTGAATTAACAATATAACAACTAATTTTGATTGAGATAACATTATACTCTGTACGAATTAGTAAAGTTGATTAATTAGGTTAAATTGTAATAGGTTTAAAGTGGGTCTTTGGTGTTTTTTCCCATTTTTTTGTGATTGTTTGTTGCATTAAAAAAATGTAAATTTTTTTTCTTAAAAAACAGAAAAACTAGAGGAATCCACGTGTTATATAAATAATATTGTCTTATACAAACTAATAATTCGATCATATATACCCACAAATTTTTCGAATATTTATAAACATCGACATCTGTTCAGATATTCATCATCATCCATAAAATCAAATCGATCAATTAAGATCAACAAACCTCTTTAATCTAAGTTTACGTCTATATGAAGGAGTTGTTAGAAGATTTATTGATTACTTCAAAACCATTTACTAGTCTAGTAAAGAAGAAAAATTAAGTTAACTCCGAAAAAGTTCACTGCTTTGTTTGTTGGTGACGACTACACTAACAAAGCCATGCATCAACCTAAAATATATCGGTAAAAATGGACTGGAATTGATTTTTTGTACAGAAAAAATAGAGGAATCCACATGTTATATTAATAATATTGTCTTTTACAAAGTAACATTTTGATCATATTATCACAAAGTTTTTGGATATTTGTAAAGATCGACATCTGTTCAGATATTCTTTATTATTTATAAAATCAAATCAATTAAGACCGACATACCTTTTTAATGTAATTTTACGTCTATATAAAGTAGTTGTTCAAAGAAAATGATTACTTCAAAACCATTTTTTAGTTTAGTAAAGAAGAAAAAAAATGGTAACTCCTAAAAAATTCAATGCTTTGATTGTAGGTGATGACTCCACTAATAGAGCCATCAATAAAAAATATTTAGGTAAAAATGGATTTGAAATTGGAGTAGCTAAAAACGGGCAAGAAGCTGTAGAGTATTTTCAAGTGGGTTACAGATTTGATTTAGTGTTGATGGACATGGAAATGCCTGTTATGGATGGTCTTCAGGTACATCAACTGATTAATTGTATGCATCTTTAATAAAATTTACATGTGTTTACACATATATAATTATGTCAAAGCAATCATTAACTATATGTCTAAACACATTTACTAATTAATATTATGGCATTGTTACAACAATTAATTTTTTTTTTTTTTTTTTTTTGGGTACAAATTCTACATTGTTATGTAATTAATTTGATATGTCTTTTTCATCCACCTAGGCAACCGGGGAAATCCGAGCTTTGGGGGTAAGGAGTTTGATCATTGGAATGTCTTCAACATCCTCACAAGTGAAGATTCAAGAATTTGTTAATGCTGGTTTAGATGCTTATTACCCTAAGCCTATGAACATGGCTAAGCTTGCAGCCATTGTTGGTTGTCTTATTAATTGAGTCTCTATTGCATGATTGTGTCTTGCAGTTTATATGATGAAGTGAGAGTCAATAAATTCGTAAAATAGTATAAAGTGGTTAAAACCAAAAAATTTGTACTTGGAGTGAACTAAAATTTAAGATGTCTTGGAATTTGTTGGGTTCATAATATGTTCTGTATTTTTTTTTAAAGGTTATAGAGTGTTACAACACATACAAATATAACTCTCTGTATTCTCTCTATGACCCCCATCCCCGAAAAACCCTAGGAACTCGCCGGAGTTCCGGCGCCACAGCTATACTCCGACGAGTCTCCTCCGCTCCTTCTCCTACTTCCCTTCTCCTCTTCTTCTATCCCCTTCTCTGCGTTTAGGCGTTTCCATCATAAAAAAATCCGAGCCGACGCCCTCACCTCTTCTCTTAAAGATCAATTAATACCATATTAGAAGGTGTTTTTGTGAGTCCTTTTCCGACTAAGAAGATTTCGAGAAGGCCCTGTATAACCCAACTTAGAGTGGAAGTTTCACGTTCAAAGGATTTCGCCGGCGAAATAAGGTCTAAGGACTAGGCCTAACCACTACTAGAAAACAATCAAATTACGACGGATTGCTTCCGACGGACACGAAATTTCGTCAGAAAAAGCGAAATTTCCGATGGATTTTGTTTCCGTCGGAAATTTCCAACGAATTCAACAATTTTGACGGAATTTTGTGCTTTCCGACGGATTTTCCGTCGTAAATTACAATTTTCGACGGAATATAAATCCGTTGGAATATAATTAAAAAAAAACTTTTTTTTACCAAACCCTAAACTCCCCCTTCTATTTCCGCCAACCTTCTATTCTCCTTCTTTTTCTCTCTCCTCTTCTCCCTCGTTCTCTGCGCTTTCTCCTTCTTTCTCTTACATCTTCTCCTTCCCTTTCTGTCTTCTCTTTCCTCTTCTCCTTCCCTTTCTCTCTTCTCTTTCCTCACCTATTTTCTTCGTCACCAGCGTAGGGTTGGGGTGTTGATTTGGTCTTCTTTCTCGCCGGCGTGGAGGTGCGGTGTTCTCTAGAAATTAATGGTTATTCAGGTCAAATTCGACAATGAAATCTCTAGAATTTGGCCATAATAAACCAAATTCGAGGTGACATTTACAGCAAAATTCGATTTTAAAGGTATGTTTTCTTGTTTTATAATTTTTTTTTAATTGTTTTGTAAATTTTTGGATTGTAGTTGTGGTTTTGGGCGGTCGTGGTGGGTGGTTTTAGGTGGGTAGTTGGTCGGAATAGGTAGGGTTAGGGTGGTAGATCCGAGTTTTGTTTCGGTGGGTTTAGGGTGGTAGATCTGGGTTTGTTTGGGTGTGTTTAGGTTATGGACACTACTAGAAAACAGACTATTTCCATCAGAAACACCCAGTTTTCCGTCGAAAACGTGTTTGTAGGAAAAATGACCTTTTTCGACGAAATTCAGACTTCGGAAGAGGTTTCTCTGCCCCGAAAAAGTCCGTCGGAAATTTCCGACGGACACAATTCCACCGGAATTTCCGACAGAAAAATGCTACAAAAAAAAAGGCCCAACACCACCCCTACCAACCCCCCTAACCCGTATCACCACCCCACTAGACGCCCAACACCACCCACAACCCGACCACCAAAACCTCCACCAGAACCCCACCACAGCCACCTCTAACCACCAATAAAAAAATAAATAAATAAAATAAAAAAAACCACACAAACCAGACCCTTACCCACCACCTCCCACACCTACCACCGTCATATCCCCCAGATCTAGTCTCCTACCATCACCACCACCGCCTGAAAAACCCCGCAACCCACCCTAACAACTAGACTGACCAACTTAACCCACCCCACATTACCCTAACCTACCCAAATCCAGATCTACCACCTAAACCTACCCAAACCAAACCCAGATCTACAAACCAAATCATAACTAATCCAGCCAAACCACCCATCCTAAGCGAACCACCCCACCACCCACCTAAAACCACCGCTCACGATGCCGAAAACCACAACCCAAAAGTTAACAAAAAAAAAAAAAAACTACAAACAAGAAACAATACCTTTAAAATCGAAATTGGCTATGAATTTAACCTCGAATTTGGTTTAATAAGGCCAAATTCGACCATAAAAACATGGTCAAATTTGATCTTAAAAACCATTATTTGTTTGACACCACCACCACCACCATTTGCTTATGCTTGATAAAGAGAGGTGTGAAGAGACAAAGATAGAAGGGGCGTGAAGAGAAGAGGAGAAAGAAAGAGAAGAGGATTGAAAGGGCATGAGAATGAAAGACAGATTTCAAAGAAGAAAAGAAGAGGAGAGAAGAAAAAGAAGAAGAGAGAAGAGAGAAAGGGCGTGAAGAGAGAAGAGAATTGGGAAATGAAGGGGGCAGGGACGGCACATGTTATTAGGGTTTGTGGGTTTTTCGTTTTCTTTTAAATTAAAAAAAAATGCTAATTCCGTCGAAATTGGCCTTAAAATCAGTCGGAAATTTCCGACGGAATTAAATCCGTCGGTATTCTCTGACGGGGAATTAAATCCGTTGGAATTATTATATTTCCGTCGGAAATGAAATATTTTTCGATGGAATAAAATTCCGTCGGAAATTTCCGACGGATTCTCGATGGAAATTAAATCCGTCGGAAATTTCGTATTTTTCGACGGAATTTCATGTCCGTTGGAACATATTCGTCGAAATTGACTGTTTTCTAATAGTGAGATATGGGTTAGTTGGGTGGTTTAAGGTGGGTGGGTTCGTATTAGATGGGTTTAGGTGATAGATCTGGGTTAGTTGGGTGGTTTTAGGTGGGTTAGGGTTAGGTTGGTTAAGGTGGTTGGTTTGGTGGGTGGGTTAAGGTGGTCGGTCTGGTGGGTGGGTTCGGGTTAGGGTGGGTTAAGGTGGTGGGTTTGGTTTAAGTGGGTTAAGGTGGTGCGTCTGGTGGGTTAAGGCGGATTTGTTGGTTAGGCGTGGTGGCGGTGGGGGCTGGCAGCGGTGGTTTTTTTTTTTATTTTCTTCCTTGAAGTTTCCGACGGAATTCCCGTCGGTAATTTCCAACAGAATACGGCCCTTCAAAAATTTCTGACGGACTGTATTTCGTCGGAATAGTGTTTTCGACGGAAATTCCGTTGGAAAAAGTCGATTTTCCTACAAAATGTTTTCCAACAAACGGTTCCGACTGAAATTCTGTAATTCCATCGAAACGGGTTTTCCGACAGAAAACAGGATGTTTTCAACGGATTTTTTCCATCGTAATTTGGTTGTTTTCTAGTAGTGAACGCCTCCGTCAAAGGTCATTAGTAATTTTGCCCGTGACGAAAACGGTTAAGTTAGGGTTAGGGTTTCATGGGTCCTTGCGCTGGAGGGCTAAGCCTAACGCCGCCGTCACAAGTGGTTCGTGACGGAAACAGTGAAGTTAGGGTTAGGGTTTTGAGGTTCTTTGCTTTTATGGTTTCGAATTTCGGGTCTGAAAGGTGCTCTTTGATATGTTCTTATCTAATTATGTTTTTTCTTGTTGTCAATTAGAGTTTGCTTTACTTTATTAATTTCTTTATGGTTAATTTTAGTCTATCTTGGTTGTTGTTCTGCATTTTTTGTTGTATTGGCTATAGTTTATTGGATGGTTGTGTGCAGAGGGAGTTTGGATCCTTTGTTAAGGGTTTTGGTTTTGTTGTAGTGTTGGGAGAGTTAACAGGTGTTGTCATTGTTTGGGGGACGAACAAGAATTTGACCGTGGCTAGGGTGAAGTGTGTGTTGTGTTGGAATGATTATTGTTGTCATTCTTTTCCCTTCTCTGTAATGATCATTGTGATCGTTACTCTTGAAATTTTATATCCAAAGCAGGCGCCCAAACTTTGTTTGGGGGTTTCTTGAGCCTCGATATTGTCAAATCTTTCTTGCCAACAAGAACAACTTATGAATGAAAGGTCATGTGTCCAAGTGACCTGCTTTAAGGCTTTACTTGTTGATAAGTTGATCCCACTAGGTAAGGTTACACTAGCCATGATCGAACAATTTCGGTACTCTCTGCTCTCTTTGTGTTTTGAAGTATGTATTCGCTCCTTGGCCTATAAGGAAGTCCTAATCTGCAACATGTCCGGCCAACCCCAGTTATGTTATATTGTTTTTAGTGTCGAAAGTTGTAATGGCTTAAATGTTAAAAGTCATGTAGTGGTAAGTTTTAGTTTGTATTTCGTATTTTGTAAACTCTGATTTTATTAATATAATTTGCTATTGTAAGAAAAAATAAAATAAAATAAATAAATAAAAAAAACATTTGAGTTTTTTTGTTTTCCCTTTCACTTATATTTTATGAGTTTTTGGCAAGTAATGTATGTTATTTCATGCCCTTACCCAAGATGGATAAAATAAAATCACAAACCTGTATAAGATCAATTAACTTTATGAAGATTCTATATATCATCCCTTAAAATTCATTTTTCCTTATCGTTGATTTTTTTTTTTTAAATCACCTTTTATCCTAGGTTGAGGTTCCAATTAAAGCTACATCATCTCGACCTAGCCCATCGCTGAATTGCCTGGGCAATTGGTCTAAGTTGCACCCTTGTGCACTTATTCTAGCTGCAACACCGGGTCACTAGCCCAGTTTCAAACGCGCCCTATTAAAAAAAGCCCCAAACCAAAACGAGCGCACCCACAACACCGAACATAACATTAGAACGCAGCTCACCCACACACATTTATAGAAAACCGTCACTTCCAACCGCTCTTTTTTAAAAAAAAAACATAATTTTTTAATAAAAACCGTCACTTCCAAACTTAAATTTCTGAAATTTATTTCTCCTCTCTTTAATTTTCTCTCTCTAACAATCAAACACAATTCATTCTCTCACCTCTATATGATTTTCTCTTAGTAAAAAACTGAAAAAACAACCATGGACATTCGAGAAGAGATTAAAAATCAAACGGATTCTTCCAAAAAAAGGTGGTTCAAAGAGCATCAAATCTAAGGTCTAGCATATTTTCAATATCAAAGCTAGGAATACAATGGACATCCACCACTTATACTCTCTGAACTGATGTGTTCTCATATTTCATTGTATAATGTGTAGTGAAAAACTGGCCGTTTGAGGTAAGGTATTGAATAGTTGAATGGCTTTCCCTATTTAATGCATCAGACATGCACATTTTTGCAACTTTTTACTTCATTGACATCATTCAGTTTCTACTTCATGATCTCCCCGACTCCTTGTAACAATGGCTATTCATTATAAGCATTGCAGGTTGTTCTTGATTTAGATGATACACTAGTTTATGCATATGACAATTTTTTTTAAAGTATAGTATAAATGTTCATGAAATTTTCTCAAGAAGTCTGTTTATGCATATATTCACTTTTTGAAATGGATATGTTCACATTTTTTTTATGCATATGTTCACTTTCTAAAATGCTTATGTTTACTTTAAGGAAACCAATGCATATGTTCATAATTTGAATTCGTATGTTCATTTTCTAAAATGCATATATTTAAATTTTTAAAAAACTTATAATGCGTAGGTTTCATAATCATTTTATTTTTTCATTTCTTCAATTTTCTTATGTTCATAATTAAATACCTTATGATCATAATATTTATTCTGTATGTTCATTCCGTATGAGGAATTTATGGATGATTTTATTGAGTTGGTCAAAACTTTCTGAAATGCATATGTTCATATTTTTTTTATGCATATGTTCACTTTTTGAAATGCTTATGTTCAATTCACTTCGAGAAACCAATGCATATGTTCATATTTTTAATACTTATAAAGCGTATGTTTCATAATCATTTTATCTTTTATTTCTTCAATTTTCTTATGTTCATAATTAAATACTTTATGTTCATAATATTTGTTCTGTATGTTCATTCCGTAAGAGGAATTTATGGATGATTGTTGAGTGGGTCAGAAAATCAGATAAAATTCAATTTGTATGAATTACATGTTCACAAACCTAATCAATTGAAATTAATCACAAAATCACCACATAATAAATCGAAATTCATACATAGATCAAATTGATCGAAGCTAACCAAAAATCAAATGAAATTTAATTCATAGAAATTAAAAAAAATACAAATACAATTGAAGCTAACTTAAAAAAAAAATCTAATTACAAATCAAACAAACAAAACACTTACCTGTATTGATGATCTCTTCGGGAATAACAACTAATTCCATGTTGTAATCAACAAAAAGTGAAACAAAAAAGAAAAATAATTATATAAAAAAAAAACAGAGGAGAAAGAATGAAGAACGAAGGAGAAAAAATAGAGGAGAAGAAAAATATGATGAAAATTTGGATCAAAATTATCATAGGAAAGAAAAGTGAAGAGAGAATATTTGAAAATAGGAAACAAAAAATTTAAAAAAGGAAAGCAGAAACGCAGGAATAATGTTATAGCTGCGTATAGAGGTGTACATAAACAGGACCGGACCTGAAAACCGACCTGATCCGGACCTGTTGGGACCGGACCTGACCCGGACCTGTAGATTCAGGTCCGGTCCCGGTCCTTAAAATTCAAGGTTTCCGATCCCGGTCCGGATCAGGTCCAAACCCGGGGTTTTCAGGTCTGGACCTGAAACCCGGTAAAAATGTATTTTTTTAAAAAAAACTTTTTTTTCCCAAATATCAAAACAAGAAGTCAGTTCATTTCTAACCCTAACTTAATCACTCACTCCCTAACCCACTCAGCCAACACAAGTCACACAACACACTTACAAACCCACTCCCTCACGCTGCACACTCCTCTAGCGACCACTGAATCGCGCGACTCTAGCAACCCCAGCCACTAGAACGTGCGACTCTAGCAACCGCAACCACCACATTGCGCGACTCCAGCAACCACAGCCACCAAAACACGCGACTTTAGCGACCGCAGCCACCAGATCGCGCGACTCCAGCGACTGCAGCCACCAGAACGCGCGACACTAGAGGCCGCAACCACCAGATCGCGCGATTCCAGCGAACGCAGCCACCAGAACGCGCGACTCCGGCGACCGCATCCACCAGATCGCGCGACTCCAGCGACTGCAGCCACCCAATCATACACCAATCGCCCTCTTACTCGCTTCACGATCTACCCCGACCTTCCTTTGCGACCATCTACTTTGAAGGTGGTAGATCTGGTGGTTACTGTTGTCTAGTATTTTTGGTGTTTGGGAATTGGGACTTTAGTCAATTTATACAATTTATGTAGTATTCATGATTGATAATATCAGATTTTATGTTATTATTTATTTTATTTTTTAAATAAAAAATCAAAAAATAAATAAAAAACAGGTCTATTCAGGTCCGAACCCGGACCGGACCTGATTTTTCAGGTCTAGCCCGGAACCGGACCTGTTGAATCAGGTCCGGTCTCCGGTCCTCAAAATTCCCTGATTCAGGTGCCGGTCCCAACAGGTCCGGTCCGGTTTTGGACCGGTGTACAGCCCTAGCTGCGTATAGTGGGCTGCGTTTCATGCTGTTGCAGCTAGAATAGCTACACAAGGATGCATGTAAGAATATGCGTTACCTGGGTTTGGGAAGATTTGCTGGACATGGATTCTAAGCGTGGGCCAGCATACTTTTTTTTTAGCCGAGGCAAATTCAAAATCTAATTGTTAGTTATAACTTTGTCCCATCATGAAGATGACTCGAAATGGCAAGTATGATCACTATATCTTTTGCCCAAACTTGAGTCTAGCTTGGCCCGAAACTTTCTTTGTCATAGCTCGACCCATGATCAGGCTTTAGTTCCAATGCACTTGTATAATTTTTTTTTTTTTTTTTTTTTTTTTTTTTTTTTTTTGAGGTGGTGGGTTAGTTAAAACTTAAAAGACATATGAGACCAAAATCCCTTACGAGATAACTCGGCCCAAAACAGTAAGACACACACTGGCAAGTAGAGGAAAATGTGAAGTGACCTCTCCTCTAAAATGCATATAGTGAAAATTGAACCCTACATATATAGTTACATTAAAGTTCAAATGTTCTATCCTTTCCACCAGTTTAAGCTTAGCCAGTATATACTATATACTGTTACTCAATTGCTAAACATCGCCCGCGAATCTCCACATAAAGCCCACAAAATTAGAGTGAATTGTCACTTTTGCCCTCAAAGTAAAAAACACAATTTCTTCTCTCAATTCTCTACTTCCACTTTCTCTCTCTAAAAAACTTTCCGAGCGATGTCGAGGCGGCCCGGCAAGGAAGTGGCGGCACAGGCGGCGGGTGGACAGCGGTTTTCCGGCGAGAAGGTATTTTTTATTAATTTTGTGTTTAAAAATTAAAAAAAAAAGGTCGGAGGCGGTGGTGGCGCCTAGGCCAGACGCCACCACCACGGCGGCGGCGTCTAGCCCAGACGCCACTACCACGGCGGCGGCGCCTAGGCCAGACGCCGTGACGGTGGCGGTGGCGTCTGGCCCAGGCGCCAGAACCACGGCACCGGCGTCTGGCCTAGGCGCCGCCGCCGTGGTAGTGGCGTCTGGGCTAGACGCCGCCGCCACCGTCACGGCGTCTGGCCTAGGCGCCGCCGCCTTTTTATTTTTTTTTTTAATTTTTTTTTGGTTTTAAATTTGAAATTTAATTTTCGAAAATAATTATTTTTTTTTTGATTTTTTTTTAAATTTGTTTTTCTTTTTTTTAATTTTAAATTTTATGTTTCTGATTTTTTTTTTATTTTGTTTTAAATTTTGTTGGTTTTTTTTAAAAAAATTTTATGTTCCTCTTTTTTTTTTTTTAATTTTTAATTTTATGTTCTTGTTTATTGTTCTTGTTTTTTTTTTTTGAATTAGTTTTTTTACTTAAAAAAAATTTTATGTTCCCTTTTTTTTGTTATAAATTTTTTTTAAAATTTTGATGTTCTTCTTTTTTTAAGTTTTTATAATTTTATATTTTTCACTTTGTTATTGATGACTGCAACAGGCAGAGCTGTTATTGATGAACTGCAACAGGCAGAGCTGTTATTGATGAACTGGAACGGGCCCTTGAGCAGTGGCAGTGGGCGTCACAGAGAGATTATTGATATGTCGGCAGTGCATTTATAAAACATTTTCCTAGTTGTTTGTAAAAGTTAACATTATCTGTTCTTATAATTATTATTTTAAGTTCTTAGAATTTGACATTATATTTTTAGTTTTTATAACTTTTATTTTAAGTTGTAATTAGTGGGCATACGAAAACTAAATACAGGTTCACATTTAAATGGGAAAACTAAATACGAAAATTAGAATCCGAAAATTAAATAAATGGGAAAAACATAGCAATAGCAATATTAGGTCACATAGAAAAGGCAACTAGATTGTTCCACTGCTGCACCCGGTCATGATATAACGCATCCCAGCCCTCTACGCTTGCTGTACGAATGGTGTACCACGTTGGTATAATCGGTGGGACCGGAAAATCGGGTGACAGGTCCAGTCGGATGAAATGTCTGTATGACGGCCCCAGAAATCCAATAGCAACCTCTCTTACCGGTCTGGTGACGGTCTCACGCGAACACCAAGGCAGAACCGTGGTACACGGATAGTAAGCTCGACCATGCAAACCAAGGCCGAAATGCATCACTGCACACTTGTAGATGTTTGCAACGGCGAAGAGATCAAGGGGCGCGTCGAACCAATGATTTTGACCGCAACGTCCTCCTCCCCACCGGATACGCTGCAGAGACCTATCCAAGTCCTGTCCGTACACGTGGCGATAAACAGCTCGGTTTGAGGCGATTTCACTGTACATCAACTGACGCACTAAACCGTAGTTGTCTTCACCCATCTGAAACACATCAGCCACAATCCGAAATCCACAGTTACCATCTGCAACCACATCATTCCACCCGTCCAGGAACGGCATCATGATGTTAGGGATCCTGTCTTTATATGGAAAATGTTCAATGTCCATTCTGCCTGTTGCACACATCAAAAAACACAATTAACAAGTTAGCAGAAAACTAAACAAACACTCTAAAAAGTAAATTAAACTAAAGTACCGTACCGGTGCCGGGCATATTCACCGACGAAGATGTTTGACTACCACTTGATGACGATGTACGACCACGGCACGTGGCGATAAATGAAGAACTTGGTTTGTCCAATATTTGACAAACTTTTCCCTCTGAGGCACCCACTGCTGCATCACATAGTCTACGATTGCCGGGCACCATTGGTATGCATCCTTGAAGTTATCCAAGGCTCGGTCGTACTCTGCCTCCGTGGTAGCTTGCAGGATCTTCCGCCACTTACCATTTACCAATCTCTCTGCTGAATCTAAGTTCTTGTTGAAAAGGTTGTAGGCTTTGACTTTCACGCATTTGTTGATGTGCCATGTGCACAGTAAATGGCTCGACTCCGGAAACAGCTCCGCTATAGGGGCAAAGAGACCTCCCTCACAATCGCTGACGATGGCCGATGGCTGAACACTTGGGCCGATGTAATTTCTCAACTTCTCCAACACCCAACGGTAACTCGCAACCGTCTCATCCTTCATAACTGCATAACCAATCAAAAAGTTCTGGTTCGTTGGAGTCATCCCAACCATCTCAACCAGTGGAAACTTATACTTGTTTGTCTTGTACGTTGAATCGATCAGAATCACAGATGGCCAAGACGAAATCATATCAGCACAATCAGGATGCACAAGGAACAAATGATTCACCTCCGATGTGTCTTCATCAGATTCAAACCAGTACAGGTAACCACGTGCTTGTGCCTGGTGTAGAAGCTGCTGTATAGGGTTCCTTCCCTCTGACCGTTCAAACCTCAATTTATGTCTGACGTTGTAGATGTGTCTTCGGTTTGGCTGGTCTTCAGGAAATTTCTCCAACACAGATGCTAATATTTTAGCAGGCTTCACTTGAGCATCACTCATTTCTTTTACAATTAGTTTCGCAGCAGGACTTAGGCCACTTAACTGTCGATGACCCACTTCATATGCGATCATCTCATGGTTGTGATACCCCCATTTACCGTAACTCTTCACTTCCCAACCGTCACCCCTTTGCTGTTGTCGAACCTTTACTCTGAACTGACACCCACAACCTTTCCGCTTTGTATCAAACCGAATCGCTTGACTGAAATCTCGTTCCTCCCTTTTGCGATAACGGTCGCATCTCAAAATGCGATCCATTCTACCATCCCGTTGAGATTTATGAGTTGCTACTACTAAACAAAAACCTGATCTAATTGCAACCTGTTTCGCCCAATCAACCGCTTGTTGAGCATCTTCGAACAGACCATCGTGTACAAAAATCCCACTATAATCATTTCCGTCTCCACCATAATCCTGCAACAATAACATATAAATATAATCACATAAGAGTAGATTAAATTAATACATTTGACACAACATTAGCACAAAAGCAAAAACAATAATAAATTATAAACAACAAACAAAGAAATAAACAAAAAGTATTCAAAAAAAAAAAAAAAACAAAACACAAAAATAAAAAACATAAACAAAACTTTAGATTAAATAAATAAAAATAAACCAAAAAAATAAAAACAAAAAAAAAACATAAAACGAAAAAAATTGTAAAAAAAAAAATAAAAAATAAATAAATTAAAAACAAAAACAAATTAAAACAATTAAAAACAAAACAAAAAAAAAACCAAAAAAAAAAGAAAAAAATTGTAACACAAAAAAAAAAAAAAACAAATTTTAAATTAAATTAAAAAAAAAAAAATAAAAAAAATAGTGGTGGCGCCTAGCCAGGACGCCGCGACCGTAGTGGTGGCGTCTAGCCAGGACGCCGCCACCGTGGCGGTGGCGCCTGGCCAGGACGCCGCCACCGTGGCGGCGGCGTCTTGGCCAGACGCCACGGCCACGGTGGCGGCGTCCTGGCCAGGCGCCAGAGCCACGGTGGCGGCGTCCTGGCTAGGCGCCACCACTACGGTCACGGCGTCCCGGCAGGACGCCAGCCGCCAATTCGTGGTTTTAGATGGCTTCGTACCTCCTTTTCCGGCGTCAACGGCGTCTCTCCGGTGCATCTACCCGACGTTGAGGGCTCTTCGGTTTCACTCGGCGATCCAGTCCTGCTCCACATTTTTTATGAGTGAAAAATTTTATTTTCGGTAAAAATTAAAACAAGGGCAATAATGTCAACATTTTTAAAAAATGTGGGCTTTATGTAGAAAAACGCGGGCGATGTTTAACAAATCCCATACTGTTAACCACTTCACTTCATCGATCAATTATACTCTCCCTCTCTATTCCACATACAAAGTTATTTTCCATTTTTTTATTTTTGTTTTTATCAAACTAAAACGTTAATCGTGTTCAGTAAATTACATTCAAGAAATAAAAATTGGGTCAAAATATTTGGACCAAGAGTAGTCAATCAATTTAAAACCGATCCGACCACAAACCCAATATGAGATTACCAACCCTAAACTCATATTTTTTTTATTTTTTTTAAAAAAAGGGTAAATTATGAAGAGGGACCCTCACCCTATCTCAGGAATGGGGCTATGAGGAATTGAACCCCCATCACTTGGGGCTAGTTCCTCACCAACCCTAGACTCATAGAAACCTAGAGTATATCAATTTGAGTACTCTGTACTTCTGTAGTTGTTTATTGTTAGGTTAGCAACATAAATAAAAGTATGAAACAAGAAAGAAAACCGACATAAATAGTCATCTGAAGAATTAAGAACAAGTTGATCAAGTTGTTTAAAAACAATAAAACATCCGTCAACCGTAATCTACCCTTAGTACGGACTTTTAAAAATTCGTCTCAAATCCCTAAATTTCCTCCCTTTTCTCCGACTCTTTCTTCTTCGTTAACTCCGCCTCCAAATTCTCCCTCTTTCTCTCTCTAACTTTCTCTCTCCTCCCAATCTTCCTCGCCGGAAAAAACCCACCTTTTTCCCGGCGACAAACAATGTCTCAGTCCACCACTTTCTCTCTCCTAACCCCCACCAAAATCTCCCCTTTCAAAACCCTCCTTAAACCCTCTTTCCCAACCCGCCCATCCTTCCTTCCGGCCCGACCCGGATCCGAACCTAGATTCCACAACCCCATCTCCGTCGCCGGAGCTCCGGTGATTACTCCGGTGATACCCGAAGAACCATCATCTTCGTCGTCGTCGTTATCGACATCGTTGGAGATTGATCATGTGAGTTCGGCTGAGATGAAGGAGAATGGGTTTCGCAGCACGCGTAGGACGAAACTCGTGTGCACAATTGGGCCTAGCACGTGCGATTTCGAGACCATTGAGGCGCTTGCTGAAGGTGGGATGAATGTCGCACGTTTGAATATGTGTCATAACACGAGGGAGTGGCACAAGGAGGTGATTGAGCACGTGCGGAAGTTGAATGAAGAAAAAGGGTTTGCTGTTGCAGTGATGATGGATACTCAAGGGAGTGAGATTCATTTGGGTGATTTTGGTGCTGCTTCCTCTCTTAAAGCTGAGGTCTTTTTTTTTCTTTTCTTTTGATTTTTGTAAATTTATTGTTTGTTTTAATTTGCAGAATTGACCTATAATTGAAATTGATTGACAAAAAGAAGATTTAAGGACCCAAAAACTCGGAATATATTGGATCTTACAAATTAGGAGTTTAGAAGTATCTTATGTGGGACAAAATTGATGTGACTAACAAATGAAAACCTTTTTTTTTTCTTTTACGAAAAAATTAAAATAAAATTAAAACTTGTTTTTTAACACTGCTCCAAAAAATTGAGAGATTTTGTTTGGTTGGTTCTATAATTATGTGTGTAAGATTGTTGTTTGTTGGGCTTTTTTGTATTTTTTTTAATTGTTGTTGTGTAGTTAATTAGTTATTGCTCTGGTTTTTATTTGATTATGATTTTTGAAGAAAGATGGAATTTAGTGAGTGAGGTGACCCTGATTGATACCAAAGTGGAATGACATTCTGTTTGATTAGTGTGATGTAGACTGATAATCACAAGAAGAACAATACTCCATAGTTAACATTCTGAATTTAGTTAACTTACAACTTGTTCGTATCGCCCTTAATGATTATATCAAGAAAAGACTACAATGTTGTATGCTAAAGATGTAAGAGATAAAACTTGATTGATAGTTATGATAATTCAACCAAGTTCTTCATAGAGTTAAAGATGACCATCAATTGAATTGTGGACTACGTAGCATTTTAGGGACAGAGTAATTATATGTTACTTTGATTTGAAAGACTCCCAATGGATGTTAAGTGGATACTGAATTGGTTTTTTCTTCTCTTGAAGTCTTCTAGTATTAATTAACTTATCATGAAGTCCACGGGTTGGGTCTATGACTGTGGATTGGATGAAAAGTTTGAGTGAAGTAGATCACGAGTAAATTACTTAATTGTTTTTTTAACCTGGAAAAATCGGTATTCTCAATACTTAAAAGCTGTTAATTTAAATTTATTATGAAGTATACGATTGTAACCCTTTTGCAGCTGTGAAAACTAGTAATCATGGCAGGGCTCTATTTTTTTTTATTTTTACTTCTAGATAGTAAGAGTTATACTTGTGCATGGATGAAACTAGGAAGGATTTGTAATTCATGGTTAGTTTGGAGTAGACAAGAGATGCTCGACTATCTCACCTTTGTGCATTATAGAAGATACATACATAACATAGGCTGTGTTTTTTTGTTTTGTTGTTGTTGTTGTTGTTGTTGTTGTTGTTGTTTTCCTCTCTCCAGTTTCAAATTACCAAAATATGTGCTTATGGAATATGAATGTGAGCAAGGAATCTTCAATATCCAATTTGTCTTTAGTTTAAAATTTAGCAAAAAATATATTTATCAACATGCTTTATATACAAAGAGGCTACCAAACTGATTACACTAGGATTGATCACAACCTTTTTAACTGATGTGCATTTATTGACTTCTTTAGGATGGTGATATTTGGACCTTCAGTGTCCGTTCTTTTGATGAGAGTCAGCCAGAGCGCACCGTCAGTGCAAGCTATGATGGATTTGCTGAAGGTATGTCTTATATTACTATCTTGTTGTGGAAAGAGCCATAAAGCTGTTGTAAGTAATTTAATTTTGATCTTATTCCAAATGTAATAGATGTTGAAGTGGGTGATGAACTTGTTGTGGATGGTGGTATGGTCCGTTTTGAGGTTGTTGAGAAAATTGGGCCTGATGTCAAGTGCTTGTGCACTGATCCTGGATTGCTGTTGCCTCGTGCGAATCTTGCATTGTGGAGGAAAGGAAGACTGGTTCAACAACGTAACAGCATGCTCCCAACAATCACATCTAAGGTTGGTGTCTCTCATCCGACCTTTATCATCAACCTAAATATCTTTTGTATTTTTTATTTATTCATTGTGAGGTATCGTGTATTCTGAACCAAAAACCTTCTATGATCCCTAGGATTGGCTGGATATTGATTTTGCTATAGCTGAAGGTGTGGATTTCATTGCATTATCTTTTGTTCGATCTGCTGATACAATCAATCATCTGCGGAGCTATATTGCTGCCCGATCTCCTAACAGGTAGACATTTCTACTTGCTATTAATCAATTCTCGGAATTCCCTCAGTCGCATTTTTTCCCTTCAGAAAAGCAGCTTTGTTTCTTGCTGGAGTTGTATTCTGCTTGAGGGAAAAATTCAAAACTACTAAATCTACTTATGGATTCGTGGTGTGTTATTTTAAAGGATACACTATACGGGTGGTAGTGCCATTTGCGAATTAGGGTGTTTGTGGTTTAATGCCAAATTGCTGATAGTAGATGCTCCTCAAGAATCTAAAATCGTGCTTTATTGTTTATATCTGAAATACTTTCTATAATCTAGTTTTATTTTGTTTATTGTAGATACTTAAGCAACAATCTAAAGCTGCTTGTGTAAATTTTGTGCTCAACCCATCAATTTTTTGTTTTTGATTATTTTTTTGGCTCCCTTCAGCAATTGTCGCATGTCTCTTTCAATTGAGAGCTTAAATCTCAATTTTGATGTGCAGGGATGTTGGTGTAATTGCTAAAATAGAGAGTGTTGACTCACTGAAAAACTTGGAAGAGATAGTAGAAGCTTCCGATGGGGCTATGGTTGCCAGAGGAGATATGGGCTCACAAATACCTCTAGAGCAAGTTCCATTTGCCCAGCAGAAAATTGTTCATTTGTGCAGGCAGCTGAATAAGCCTGTCATTGTTGCCTCACAGCTCCTTGAGTCCATGATTGAGTATCCTATACCAACTAGAGCAGAGGTTGCTGATGTTTCTGAGGCTGTAAGGCAGCAAGCTGATGCATTGATGCTCTCTGGTGAATCAGCAATGGGTCTTTACCCTGACAAAGCATTAACTGTTCTTAGGAGCGTTAGCGTGCGAATGGAAAAGTGGTGCAGAGAGGATAAGTTTAGTGAAGAATTGGAATTAACAAATATATCATCATCATTTTCAGATATCATAAAAGAAGAGATATGCCGGTCTGCTGCCAAATTAGGTAAGCAAATAATCTCAAATATTACAAGTAAATTGAAACTGAATCAAGTTCCGATTTTTTTTTTTTTTTTTTTTTTTTTTTTTTTTTTTTTAAATAGATATTTGTAAGTTTGTAACTAATCAATGGTTTGGATCTTTGTTTCAAAATTCCACGACAAAGATTACAGGTTATGGTGGTTTTTTTTTTTAAGAAAACCATTGTAGACTCTTCAAAAAATGGCTAATTTAGACGTTTTTGCTATGTTAGATTCTTTTGATGTCTTTTGTGGATTAATGTCATCATATGGTAATAACTGTGTGATTTACAATTCCACAGCCAGCAGTCTGCAAGTGGACGCCTTGTTTGTTTACACATCAGATGGACACATGGCATCTCTCCTTTCACGGTGGCGACCAGATTGTCCAATATTTGCTTTTACCCCCACTCCTTCTGTGCGGAAACGATTAAATCTGCAATGGGGGTTGATCCCTTTCCGGTTAAACTTTTCCGAAGACATGGACACTAATTTGAGCAAAACTCTGTCGTTGTTGAAAATAAGAGGCATGATCAAGCCTGGAGACCGTATTGTTGCTGTGTCTGATATGCTACAATCTATCCAGGTAAGGATCGTTCCTTGAATGCCTGCCTGCTGGTTATGTGATTGTGTTCGGGATGAAGTTCAGCAATTTGTAATTTAATGGATATTTAGGGATTATTTGTGTGCGTGAGAAACATCTGATATTCTACATTCCTTGTGATTGTAGAAGTCTTAAGGCTGTATTATCACTTAGGTATATAGTGCCAACTTTGATCCTAGATTCTTAGATCTACTCGTGCATCTTTTTTCTCCCGTCTTTTCTTGATGTAATTTTAAAATGACTTCTGATGTATTTTTAGAATTGGTGTTTACAAAGTATTTTGTTAACATCGAGCGCATTTTTGGTGAAAAACACCCTACATTTGTTTCTTAGATTCATTATCAAATGTCATTGTACAAGGAAGGATGGAGGGTATGGGTATGCGAGTAGCTATCATCAAAATACTCTGATCCTCTTAGCTACGGAGTACCGAGTACGAGTATAAACTAAGCCATGCACGACAGGGACATGCCTTTTCTCCTTGCATTTGGGGTTCTTAATAACTCTCATATGGGTTGTCAAAGCTCTTAAAAGACATAGAGATTGGTCCATAACTCCAAATCCAATTTTCGATCAGACTAAACCAAATCAAATCGGACCACTATCTTCAAATTTACATTTGGTTATAGGCCTTATAGTTAAATACTTGTATGTTTAATTTAGAAAAGTTCGTATTTGGAAAATGCACGTTAATACGGAGTAATTATCAACTTTCCTAAACAGGAAATAGCCAGATGGGCCTTTTAATGATATGGACTACATGTGTTGGAGTGGCCCAAGTAGGTTTTGGTCCAATCTTAGGAAATTAGAATTCTTGTTACTCATTTTTATTACTCCGTGCTACTTTTTATTTTTATTTTTAAAGATTAAGCATATGCTTCTGAAATTCTATATACTGTAATAACCAAGATTTTACGCTGAAATGAAGTAGTTAGTGAACAATCATGGACATAACCGTAAATTTACAATATTCTAAAGCAAATCTTAAGTAACTTTATATTTGGTGCAAAATCTTAGATTACTTTAAAAATGTTATCTTTCTCTTTGAAATATTAGGTACTAGTGTACTACATCAAGCATCACTTCTGATTATGACTTAGTTGATAATAGAGGTGGTTATTGGACAGGGTAGCCCAATGATAATAGGGTCAGGGCCAAGCTTATAAGACTTTTAATGGACAGGGTTATTAATGGACAGGACCCTTATTGGATAGGGTCAATATCGGGCCAACATGTTTTTCCAATTTAGTTGATAAAGAAAATACATAATGTAAAAATAATTATATAAATTAATTTGTATTCATATGTATTTAATAATGGCTTTGTTCAATATTTATTTTAATTGATATTTTGTAGGCCCGCCCATTATAGACCCGCAACCCACATTGGCCCGGCCCTATATTGACCTTATAAAATGTGACCCTCTTTGACCCTGACCCGCAACCGACCCGCACCGATCCTGACCTGACCCGCCCAATAACCAGGTCTAGTTGATAACAATGGGTTTAGAATTTTTCTCCTTTCAACCATATATTTGTTGGCATGTCATTTGATTTACCAATTTTTATGTCCCATTGTTTTAAGAAATTACTTTTGATTACAAGATTCAATGAATTAATTGTGACTAATCTTTAAATTTGATACTGACACTTGTTTCATAATAATACTTACTAGTAATATAGTTTTAATGACCAGTTTAACATAATTATGAACAATGATATAGACACAAAAGGTTAACTTTGGGTAATTTGGGTGTAAATGGTCTTAATATGGACAATTATTGTTTTTCATAGCTTTTGCTAAATATGCTTATTAGTATCCAAACTCTGAATTCTTAGAAATAACTCATGGTCGCCTATTTATTTGTAAAGTAACATGCTTTATGTTCATTTTGTAAAAATATACAGATTTATATGCACTTCTCATTAGGGCCATTTTTTGTTTAAATTGAGTTACCTATAAGCGGTAAAAGTCACTATGAGTGTTTCAATTGTGTGTACAATGAGTAAAATTTGGCTAAGTGCATAGCCCTATTGTTTTTAGTGATGAACCGCGGAATCCGTACGGGAAGGGTTGTTTACTTGAATCGCCTCTAATTTTTTTAATTGTTCAAATGTTTTTACTTTAATACACTTACTCCTCTAGTTCTGTAAAAAATGTTTTAGTTCGATCCTTGCAATTTTCAAGACACACATTTGAGCATTAACATTTTGAATTGTGTAATATAAAAGTAAATATTTTTAAAATAAACATCGAGACTAATTTAACAAGATGTTTTGTAGCTTTAATTTGCTTTTACTCTATTTATTTATCAGACTGTATGTACTTAAGGTCAAAATTCCTCTATCTCCAAATAATACATTCCAAACAAGAACAATTTCAAGAAACAAAATATGCTAAACAACAAAACTGTAGGCAAAATAAGCTCAAATACACAAATTCAAATAAATTCAGTAATGTTTAGATAATTTTAGATATTTTGAGATAAGTTAAACCAATCTTTTTACATTTTCTTAATTGGAACAAAAAAATACAAACTATTAGTGTTCAACACTAAACTAAACATGACTTAACCTAATTTAAGCAATGCAACTAAATTTATTTACGTCCTATGTCGGTATGTGTAATTATCCAAATGAACAAGCTCATTTCCATCTTCCTATAATACAAATGTATTACGAAAATACTCAGACCTATCTAGTTCATGTAGCGTGTACAGTAACAGGCTTGAGCAAGTACAGTTATGGTCAGACCCACATTAACACTCTTTACGTATTCATATTAAAATATTTATCATTAAATTAGTGTGAAACAATTTCACGCACCGTAAATAAATTGGTTTAAACATGTACACTAAATCCTGTTTCCTGTATCCCTGCAGCATTCGAACTATGCCTTCCACCCTTTTTCATCTCAAAGTCGTGTGATTTTCTTGCCCACGGATTTCATCAATTTCCTAAAGCAGGCTTCTTCACTGTAACATTTGATGTCCTTTTCATGATAATATAGTTGCCCATGAAAGGAATTGTACCACTATATATACCCTATACGTGACTAACGTGATCTTTTTGACAATTGAAAGTTATGAGTACAATAAAAAATTTTGTTTCAATAAAAACCGCATTACGTTATTCTTTTATCTTTAAATTTGTGTGAGAAGTAATTTAGCGGAATTAAAATGAGACGAAAGGAATATTAATTAAAATTATATTTAAAAAAAATAAAAAATTCAACTACTAAGCACAATTTTTAATTAATAAGTTTAATAAGGATGGGTCCGGATTCATCAAAATGTTAGGAGTTGTTTGGTTACACAAAAAAAATAGGAGAAGTGAAAAATGAGAGAATTGTAAATTTATGGGAATTGTGACTTCCCACAAAACATTAATTACCTAACCCTCCTTGATAAGTCAAAATTCTCATGATTTGCATCTTTTCTCATGCCAACCAAACAACTTTATACAATTCCCATAAATTTGATGTAGGAATTTAATTCCCATGAAATACAAATTCCTATAGGAAGTAAATTCCCATAGCAATCAAACGACATCTTAGTCGCTTTCACTAAATTTATTCGTTATAATCGTCAACTTAATTTTATTCTGCACTCATTACAACTCAAAAGTCTTACTAATTCTCAAGAGTTCTTACCGTTGATGCTTCATAATTTACTTTATTTTACCTTGTGCTACACATTACACTTTAAGGATTTTAACTTTTGTTTTTTCAAAGACTCTATATCTTTGTGTTTTTTTTTCTTTTTTTTTTTTGACCTATACTATACTTTGTTTTCTATATTATAGTCACTTAGTTAGCCCCGTGTATAATTCATTGCAACATTGCTCTATTCGATCAATATAGTTCTCGCTATTCTCGTCACATGAGTCCACTTTTATACCTCAAACATTTATTTAAACACTTTACAACGTTGTGTAACATTTATAAGAAACTTGAAGAAATATATTTTGTTAAGTGCTCAAAGTATATATTGCTGAATGGCAACGAATAAAGAATTCAAAATTGAGCAATTTTTTTTAATTTTATGTTTCTGTTTGTATCAATTTGGATAAGAAAGAGAGCAAGCTAGAAAAAGCTAATTTTGTCACGAAATTTCTTGTTGATGTAACTTGTCTAATCGTAAAAATAAATAAAAGAGAGAAAAAATGCTTTACAGAAAGGGATAAAGAGATGGGTCAGAAGTGGGCCTAATAGCAATAGGGAAATGTAATGAGTGAATGGGCCACTTCAGGATTAAAGTAGGCCCATTAGACATAATGGCATCAGTTTCTTTTCCTTATTTTGGGAGTATTTCTTTTTCTTTTTTATTTTGTTATCTTTTATGCTATTCTTTCTTTTTCCATGTTCTTGCTCCCACTTTTGAGTGAAATTGTTGGGAAAAAGTAGACATAGATCATTTGCTCATTGATCATAAGGTAACCCAATAGTTAAATATCATCATTAATCAAGATTTAGTAATTGAGTAGCAAAAAATATTAAGTAATTTAATGCACTTAATTATAACTTGATTTTGGCACAAACAAAGATATAACAACTTTGTTAATTTTGTGTTTAATACACTGTTTATTAACTTCATGGTGTGCACTAGTTTCATGAAATGAAACAATTAAGGTAATTAGAATGTTGACACATAGTATAATTGCATTGCTTGGTTCATTAGAAGCTTCCCACCTTCCTGATCAATTGAAGTGATAATCAATCCTCATCTCATAGAAGTAGATCTATTAATTAGTATCTCCTTAAACGGTTATAAACTTATATGTTTCTTTTCCGCAATATCTATACATGCATAATGCATACTGATCTTGAACAATGAATTTGGGGATGAGATTGCATAACCTTATTCTATTCCAATCCATGGTCATTTATTCTATTTTTCTAAAAGGTACATGAACAAATGTTTATATGATGACATTATTATACACTACATTCGGAAACGAACTCTACTCATCTTTAAAGGAGATGAGTGACCTAACCAATTGACCATTCTTGGTCTCAAACCTCAAGACTCTCAATTCATATTCGTTCTACCCTTCTTAATTAATTAGTTTACACTTCATTCGTATTAAAAAACAAAACAACATCTACTTGATTATTAACATGAGTTTTATAAGCTCTTCTCAATTCCTTGGATAAACTAGGACTAGCTTAGTGGATAGGGAATTAGGGGAAATGCATGTAACGAATTGAATATGGTACCACAATAATATCAAATGGGGAGAATAATTGATTAGAACATTGTTGATGTTGTGCATCTATAACTATTGATGAAATGATTTTCATCATTTTTAAAAGACATTACATGTAACATGATCCTAAAAACATAAAAATCTAACGTAATCAACTATTTGAATGATAATTTAAAAAAATTGCTAACTATTTGTGACACTATTAATTTAAATGCTTGGGTCAGTTGTTAGTAAATTGTTATAGTTTAATCATATACGTCTCTAGTTTGAACTTGAATTCGCAATAACTGTTCAAAGACTTTTCCTCAATCGAGATACATATAAATGTTCCAACTCGAGTCTTGATTAGTTGAACTCGGTCTAAATTATCATCGCGTGGGGTATCTTGAACAAAGCAAATCATATCATATAACATTTTAATTGTTGTAATAATACTTATTCACCAAAGCTGTATATAAACACATCAATTCACGAACGACAAAATACATTGATTAATATTGCCTGAACCAAACTGATCATACATATCATGAAAGAAAAAAATCAATCATGTTTAGATTATATCATAGCAGACAATATAACACATGCCAACTCAAATGTATCTTTGAACAATAATCAGTATTAATATAATTATGTATCCATTTGAAATTTAGTAAAGCATATACTATAATATAGTATGTCTTGAATCTAATAATCCCTAACCAACAAAGATACATGTACAATTCCCTTGCCCCCTATCCTGGGTTCAATAAGGATTGTACCAAAATAATAATTGGGCACAAAAAGAAATAATAGGGCAGTTGAGCACCCACTTATGCAATGCAGTTGCCATTCATGTTAAAAGGTCCCACACCAAATATTAGACTTCTCATCCACCCCCCTAAGTTTTGGTTTTTCTTTCTTGTTTTATATGTACTCCCTTTGTTCCTTGAAAGTTCGACTTATTTGAATTTTACAAGGTCTTTAATATACATTTTTAGTCGTGAATATGTTTAATTATGAATATGTTTAATTATGTATAGGTTATAAAAAAAAATTAAAAATTGAATATACATTAGATACATCCAACAAGGTTAGGTTCCATATATTTATCTATAAAAAACGCTCAAAGTTATGTTATTATGTTATTTTAATCACAAAATTAGTAATAAGTCGAAACTCTCATGAATGGATGAAGCGGTATATATTATGGTATATTTTTCCTTTTTCTTGATATTTTTTTAACTGACATGAAATTTATTATAATAAGGGAAAACATTATTGGAGGGGACCCAGCTAGTGGCTAACATCAAGCATCATATCCAGTTCTACTTCAACTGTAGTGACTTGATTGCAAAGGCAACATCTGCCTTTGATTCCTGGGATATACATTTTGCAGTCCTTGTGTGTTTAATAAGGCAATACTTTATTTTTTACAAAAAAAAAAAAAAAAATAGAAAAAAGAAAGAGAGAGAGAATACAATATGAAATACGTACTGTTAAATTGATTTGATAAATTATTAATTACGAAATATATTACTATCAAATTAATATTCAATCTTTGAGTGAATGATTAAATAGTTAGAAGTATCTTTTATTTTACAATGATAAGTGTAAAATGGTCATTTAAACACTGAAATACGTATATAATCTTCTAGTCGTTTTGATTGATTAGGTCACATGCAAGAAACGTTATTTCCTAATATATTATATTATCAACCATAACTAGAAATTCTTTGATAAGCTATTTTGGTCATATATGCATTTTTTTTTTTTCTCTTTCTATTTATGTTTATGCACTCTCCATGAAAGATGGAGATGGGCAAAAATGGGAGGTACGACCCTTCAAAATAATATTAGATATTGAAGTATTTTACGTGATTAAACACTATATTACAAGTTTATTACATGAATTGGAAATATATTATCTCTTACACTACAATACGTATGCAACACAACGAGAAAATCTAAATTGATTTTTCGTGATTGTAATAGTTTGTTTTTTTTTTTTGTTTTTTTTTTCTTTAAAAAATAAAAAAAAAAAATAAAAATCTGCAAATTATAACGTATAAGAATGCACAACATTTTTCTTATGGCTTAGCATATACATATCGTACAAGAACAAGGTTATACTTTATGTGGACCATAAATCAAAACGTTATCCTCTTAGTAACTTGCTCACTTAGTTTAGAATGCAATTCCATTATTACATGTATAATTCCTCTATCTTTTACATCCAAATACTCAACATGATGGAGTTTTCATGTAGGTATTTCAACTTCATACTCAAAGGTATTAAATTTTATCTGTATACCCTATCATGTATACCAAATACCTTATCTAGCTCTATCCGTAGTAAAAAAGATTATACTCCCTTTGTTTGAAATTAATAATTACACGTAAAAGTGTAAAAAGAAAGTTGACATTAATAGAATTGTTTCATTTAAATTCTATCAATATATCACTATGTAAATTATGAAAAGTTGGAACAATATGATAACTAATTTTGATTTTAGAAAACGAGTACAATTGAACGAGCTAGCTAGATATTGTTTAAAACATCATCAATCAAATATTAATGAGTCATCTTCGTAATGATCTGGCTAACAATAAGATAACATTTGAGCCACATAATCCCTATCTTAAACATGGACCCTACATAAACATAATTAATAATTATATTTAGCTCTCATATATAATTACTACCAACCACAAATTATTGGACTAAGGTTTATCCAATAGGAAAAGAGTGTGTGTATGTGGTGGAATAGAGAGAGAAAGTTAATTATAATGGGCCGAACAAATTTTACTCCCATGATAGTACGGCCCATTTAGTGAGACATATTAATGAGCCCATGGGCCCAAAAGTGGGCTCCCTTTTTATTTCTTTTGAAAGATAGACTATAAAATAATCTTAACAAATTGATACTACAGAATATACGATTACACGTCAGCTATCCTGTTTTGACCAAGAAGTTTTAGCTGTATTAGGTTGACTGACATACTTTTAACTTCGTAAATTTTTTATTTTTAAGTTTTTTTAATTTTTGGATTGATTTAGGATATGATGACTCTAACTTTTGGACCGTTTCCAGCTTTGTCAATTGGTCAAACTAAATAATACGGTGCTTAGTTATATTTATCCGGTTTACAATTTCGTAAAATCTAAAATTTTTATGTTCTTCTCTGTAACTTTGACTCATATAACGTGATCTTACAATAATGTCAAAGATTATACTCGTACGGAATATTAAGGAGTACTAATTGTAGCATGTATTCTTGTTATGACTATAATTTATTTTATTTCTTTGGATAATATAAACATATACTTAATATTACACCTAAAAAGTTTCATTTCAGATCAATATAAACATATTGAACTTTATAATTTCATGAACATGATTGCCAGGAAAAATAAAAAAATAAATATATATATATATCAAATTTGAGTGAAACATGTATAAATCCGTATAATTTTAAAAACGCAATTGTATTTGTTTTTACACATATGTATACGGTTATAATACAACTTTTAGCAAACATCTTTCATACAATAAGATGATAGTCAATCAATCAAATTAGTAATTCTCCTTGATCGGTATATGTACACTCGAATTTGTACCTTCACGTGTTAGATAATTCTTTCATGAATCTATCTACATCCAAGATTATTGTGATATCTAAGCTACAACCTCAATTTTTTTTTTAATAACATATTATCAAGTAATATAATACTTGAGCAGTAGTTGAGCTAATACATGTACAACTAGTGGGAATTATAGAAGGGAAATATCACCCAAAAGAAAAACTTCTTTTAAGGATTTTAATGTGCTTACTTATAATTTGGCAATAAATCAAGGGAAAATGGGTAGGGTTTACTTAAAAAATTTGGTGATGGAGTTAATAAGGTTAGTGAGATCCATTAGGTGAGACATCTTTGGGTAATTTAATAATGACAAAGGTGGCGGGAGTAGTTAGTGGGGGTAAATACGATCAACTCCGTTAAAAAAAGAGACATTAGAACGTAAAACAAGGAGATATGTGGCTATTCAGGGAAAAAAAAAATCTAATTGCAATAACATTCGAAACAAACAAGGAAACTTCAAACATAAAGTAAACATATAAAACATTAATAATTATCTCATTAATGCACTGGATTGTGTTTGGACGGTTGAGTGTTATAGGTTCAAATCACAATCTCTTACTCTAACAAAACTTTACCAAATTTAACAGCTTTGGAGTCAAATTAATCTGACAAATGTGCGGTAACTATGGAATGACGGAAATGTACATTTGTCGTGTCGAATTGCTAAAAGACAAATAACAAAAATCACTATACCAGAAACAAAAAATGTATTGCCATTTGTTAGTGGTTCCCGAAGTATCCTCAACCTCTCAACTCGTTTTTAACCAAACTCTCATTGACATCACAATACTCGATTTTCTTCTAACTCAGTTCCACACTATTCCATTATTCTCATTTTGAGGCCTACTTTATACTTTCAACTTGAGGAGTCGTTTGGTTGGGGGATTCATTAAAAGGAAAGGAAATCAACTGCCCTGATTCCCCTTGTTGCTGTTTGTTAGCCGTTTTTTCCTATTCCCTTCTTCATTACCCCAAATCCTTCCAAGTTGATTCCCCACCCCTAGGTATTTCCATTCCCATTCCCTAGCCACCATCACATCACCACCCTCCTGCCTACCCAGACCATCGAAAAACCCACCACCGCACTACCTGACCCTCGCCGCCTCTCCTCCAACCCTCACAAAACTCTCCCCTTCCCGAGAAAACATCTCCCAGACCCATAAAATCTTAGAAACTCCTCCCTATCCTCATAAAATCGTCGTTCGTCCATCCCATCCCCTGGTGGGGGATAGGCGGACAACGGTTTTGCTAGGGTTTCAAGGGTGGGGGGATGGGTGAATGACGGTTTTACAGGGACAGGGAGGAGATTCTAAGGTTTTACAGGGTTTTACGGGTCTAGGAGATGTTTTTCCGAGAAGGGAAGAGTTTTGCATGGGGAGGGGAAGAGCGGCGAAGGTCGGGGGAGAGGCGACGAAGCGTGGCGGTGGTGGGGGAGGTGCGGCGAATGGTGGGGTGCAGTGGTGGACCCAGGATTTTCCGACTGGTGAGTCACAATCGATAATCAAATATGTAAAAAAAATTTTTTACCAAACAACCAAATAATAGTACTAAAAAATACATCCAAATATTCAAACAGTACAAAATACAACCAAATGTTCATATAATACTACAAAAGACAACTAAATAGTAATGCAAACTTATTAAAATAGTTCTCGACGAGTTTTCATGTTTTGATATCGATTCATGATATCTTCCATGCTAACATTCAAAAACAAATCATTCTCCAAATAAGTAATTAAACAATCATTCAACATTTGATCTCCCATGCTATTTCGTAGTTTGTCTTTCACTTGCTTCATGCCAGAAAATACTCTTTCCACACTTGCCGTTGCGACAGGAAGAAGCAACACCAACTTCAAAAGTAAATAGACCCTATCATGAGTTTCAGACAATCCCGTTTCAACCAATTTGATTGAAAGATCACTAAGACCCTTCAAATTCCAAAACCTTTCATCTCCTCTAACAGAACAAATGTAACTATTAAGTGTATGACCAAAGACTATCAATTCTGAACTTGGAAATTCATTAGGATAGAATTTTGCAAGCTTAATCAATTTTTCCTTATCAAACTTAGAAAAACGATCCACAGGACTCAAACAAGACATACACACAAGTAGTTCTTTAGTTATTTTGGGAAATCGATTTTCAAGTTCTTGCAATTGAAGATCAATGACACCAAAAAAAACTTCAACTCGAAAATGATGTAGATTAGACACTTGTGGGCATTTACCTCTAAACAACCTCCTCCCGGGAACAACATATTTAGCCTCCATATCTGGAACTGCAATGTCATAGTCACCAATAAAAGAAATTACCTTTTCCATATGAGAATCCCATCCTTCATCTCTCATTTTTTGCAAATTAGTCTTGGTTACATTAACCATGGCCATTGCATTCACAATGTCTTGATCGTGCTTTTGTAAGGCCACATTCAAAGCATTTGTTATTGCAAATATACTAACCATCAAGTGTGCCACGAACACAAAATCAAAGGACATCAGAAGATTTGTAAGTGTTTGAGCTCTATTAGAATCTATTGTATCAGATACTTTTGCAATATCCTCAAGAGAACCAAGGATTACAGGGAATAAATCAAGTACATTCAAGATTGTCTTGAAGTGAGATCCCCAACGAGTATCACAAGGTCTACCTAATCCACGTTCTTGATTTAAACCTGAACCCGTTTCAAGTTCACCTAGAGACAATGCATCCACCACTCTTTGAGCTTGATTTTCACGAAGAAACTCTTTCCTTTTTGGTGAACCCCCCACAAAATTCAAGAGAGGTGCAAGTACATCAACAAATAACCAAGCACAATCTGAATTCTTTTTAGCAAGTGCAACTTGAGTTAATTGAAGTTGGTGAGCAAAGCAGTGGACAAAATAAGCTTCTTTACACTCATTCTCTATAAGAGTCCTAAGGCCATTAATAGAACCTTGCATATTACTTGCCCCATCATAACCCTGACCCCGTACTTGAGAGAAAGACAAAGAATGCTCCATTAATAAGGATTCAATAGCAGTTTTGAGAGTCAAAGAAGCAGTGTTTACAACATGCACAATACCAAGTAAACGCTCACACACTTCTCCCTTTCTATTAACATATCTCAAACAAAGAGCCAATTGTTCCTTGTCAGAAACATCAGCGGACTCATCAGCAAGGATAGAAAATAAACCACCATCAATATCTTCAAGCATTGCTTTAGTGGTCTCTTTTGCACATGCATTTATGATATCTTTTTGGACTTTAGGAGAAGTAAGTTGACAATTACTAGGAGCATTTTTGAAAACAACTTTAGAATATTCAGGATTACCTTTGGAAATAAGGGATAAAAGTGAAAGAAAGTTACCTCTTCTTAAGGAACTTTCTTTTTCATCATGACCACGGAAAGGCAACCCTTGGAGTAAAAGCCATTGGATAGATTCAATTGAAGCTTCAAGTCGCGTCCTATATGCATTTGTACTCTCAGCGGTTTGTTTTGTTAAGGCTTGTGTGATGCTTGAATTTTGTTTCTTGAACAAATCCATAGCTAAAATAGCATTATTATGTGCACTCAAGTGTTTACCGACATGTTTTCTTATTAAATCCGATCGATTCCATGATTTGAAACCATCACTAACAAAAGCATCACCTCCAAAGACATTTTCATCCTTGAATAGATAACAAGGGAAACAATAGGCAGCATCCTTTTCCACACTATACTCAAGCCAAGTCCAAGTATCAAACCACTTAGCACAAAAGCGACGATTTTTGCCAAAAATAGAAGTTTGAGGAAATGTAAAGTCTTTGGGCTGACAAGGCTTTCTTTGAATGTAAATTCTTCTCACTAAATCTCTATCATCTTTATGAAATTGACTCATTTTTCTCCTCTTTCCTGGATCTTGTGGAAGATTAGCAAATTCATGTTCACTTAATCTTTCTCCAAAGATTGGGGCATTAGGAGAACATTGGCCTTGTTCATTTTGAGGGGAATTTTGAGTTGAATAATGAGATGGAGATGAAAGTTGCTCACTTTCTTGAGGTGGAGTTATAGTTTGTTCATTTTGTGTTGGATGTGGAAGAGAAGTTGGAGTAGGATTCTTTTTAGCAAAGAAGCTAGTAATGTTTTGCATTTCATTTGGAGTATGTTTTCTCTTTATTCTGAAATTTGAATAAATATTGAACTAAATCAAGCAATATTCCCCAGAAAAATTATTTGAATAAATATTCAACTAAATGGTCTAAATCAAGCAATTTCACATAATGACATAATCACATAAACATATTACACAAAACACAATTACACAAAACAGATTTCACATAAGTAATAACTAATAAGTTCAAGAGATTTCAATTACACAAAACACAATTACACAAAACACAATTACACAAAACAGATTTCACATAAGTAATAACTAATAAGTTCAAGAGATTTCAATTACACAAAACACAATTACACAAAACACAATTACACAAAACAGATTTCACAAAAAAAATCAATTGATGATTAGTTGATTACCTACCTTGCTAGGCGGAGGCGAGCAGCGGAGCAGGCGGAGCAGCACTGCAATAGGGCCACGGGCAGTCGGCCAGCACCGCAGCACGGCAGTCGGCAGCACTCAAGTCTCAGGCACCGAGGCACGCACTCAGCAAGACAGCAATTCGCCAATTCAGCAGCACAGCCAACTACAAATTAACAAATCAACCAAAGTTTAAACCAAAGTTTAATAAAATTAACAAATTAGACTGAATTAATTTGAAGATTAGAAATTAAAAATAAAAATTAGAAATCAACTTACTAGCACCGACGTTTCGAGTAGCGATTTCACGAAGAGGACGGAGTCCACGAGTCACGACCACCGAGTCACCGCTCACCGACGTCCGACTACCAGGCGATTAGGCGAAGAGAACGGTGGCTGCCTGGCTGCCTGGCTGAGTGGCTGGGACGAAGCGAAGAGGCGAAGTCACGAAGAGAAGAATGGAGATGAGCGAAGAGGCGAAGTCACGCGAAGTCACGAAGAGAAGAATGGAGATGAGGCGATTAAGAATGGAGGCGATTAGGCGGAGAAGGCGAAGTCACGAAGAGAAGAATGGAGGCGATTAGGCGGAGAAGGCGAAGTCACGAAGAGCACGAAGAGGCTAGGGCTTGAAACTGATTTTTTTTTTTTTTTTTTTTTAAATAACTTAAATTTTTTTTTTGGGCCTGGTGAGTCACTTGACCCACCAGGTCTAAGCCCAAGTCCGCCACTGGTGGGGTGGCTGGAAAAGGTAGGGATTGAAGGAGATAGTTTGTTGTGTCGTGGTGGGACTGGTGGCTTGATTCTCTTTCTTTTTAAAACAAACAACATAGGAAATTTGAGGGATTTTCATTCCAATCTCTTTCTTTTCCTTTGTTTGTTCCACTCCGTTTACCCCACGCCAACCAAACGACCCCTGAGTGTAATGACAATACTTAAATTCGGTCTCCATAATTTTACATAGATAAAAATGCAACTCCAAGAAATTTGGGTATATATTGGATATTAAGCAATTTTTATTCTATTGTATTGTGACAATTTATTTGTTATTTATAAACTATTGTAGAGTAATGTGATAAAAAAAAGTTAAAGATGTACGAATTTGTAAAGATATTTGTAGAGAATTAAAGATACACTTTGTTCTGATAAAAAGAACACTTTTCTAACTTTTTCCAATTTTCTTACCACAATAACTATTCAATTGGACATTACATTTTAACCTCAAGTAATAGGAGTCAAATTGTTATACTCCAAAAAAGTACAGAGTACTACTTATTGATTTCACCTTCTACTCCGTATTAAATTACTAGTATTAAGATGTTTTCCTTAAAAAAAAAACAAAAACAAAAGCTAACCAGCGCCTCAGAAGCATAATTTTGTCATCAATTTCAAACATAATACTTTTTCCGTTCTAGTAATATTGCAATGATTGGGCTTTTACACTATTCATCATGTTTTTTTGACCATGTATTATGATTTATAGTAAAGTAAAATATAGTTATGTGGGGTCTTATTAGATTCGTCTCGTAAAATACTTTCACAATATCAACTTTTTATAATTTTTACTCTTATATAATTATAGATATTTATCATATAAAATGTGCACTGGGAATTGGGATGAGTAATTTCATTCTTGTTGCAATATTTGTGAAACAGAGACAATACTATTTTAAATAATATATTAATTAAATATCTAACACCCCAGAACGCCTGTGAACAAGATAAAAAAAACGACTATTTTACCAAATTTCACTGAATACTTAATAAATTCACCAAATGCCATCAAGCTTTTTAAAATTCACCAAATGCCATTGATCTCAACATACAAAACGGGGCATATGTGCTATTTTTTTTGTTAATTTTGAGCTTAATTTGAACCCACAAAAGACTAAATGACCCCCTAAACCTTACCCCCAATCAATTTTCATGGTTAAAAAATAACAAGGCTAATTGAAATTTTTTCGACACACAAAAAAGAGCATTTACGCTATTTTTTTTGTCAATTCCGAACTTAATTTGTAAGCATAAAGGGTCAAAATAACCCCCAAAACCTTATCCGATCAATTTTCATGGTTTAAAAATAACAACACGCTAATCGAGATATTTTTGTAACACACAAAACAAGACATTTACGCTATTTTTTTTTTGCTAATTTTGAGCTTAATTTGAATTCATAAAGGGTCAAAATGACCACCAAAACTTTACCCAAGAAATTTTCGTCACGAAAATCAAGAAAAAAAATATTATTTTTATAAATTAAAATAAATGATTAAATGATCCAATCATATCATGACACGTGTCATGATCTAATCTTAATAACTAACGGAATTAACGACCGTTAGCCATTAATGATATTTGATGATTTTTTTAAAAGCTCGATGACATCTGGTGAATTTTAAAAGCTATAATGATATTTGTTGAATTTTTTAAATATTTAGTCACATTTTTGGTGAAATAGTCATTAAAAAAAAACCACAATGTTAAATTTTGTATTTGTTGGGTGAATGGTGATCATTGTGGGACTTACCGATGTCATGTCACTCACAGTCACTCCTTTTCAAAAATAAATAAAATAATTAAAACTTGTCATATCACAATTTCAAAGATAATCAATTTCACTCACAAAAATTAAAAAAGTTACAATCAACCCCCAAAATTACGATCGCACCCTTCCTATAACTTTACCTTTCTAGACGAACTCCTGTCCACTTTCACCTCTCAATCACAAATTTCTCCAGGGGTAATTTCGACATTTCCTTCCTCCAAACCACACTTCACATACATCCGCCACGTGGCAAAGACAGTTTTGAAACTCCCCGCATTACGAGGGGGTTTGTAAAAAAAAAAAGAAAGAAAAGTTTATTACAGTACTGTACAACATTACACCCCAACTTCTAATAAAAAAACCAAGAAAGGGTAATTTCGTAATTTAGGCACCTATGTAGCGTAACCAACACTAGAACGTGGCTGAAAACGGTCGTACCACGAAAACACAAATATCCCCCGAACCACACCACGTAACAATTAGCTTCGGAAATCCCGAACCTAATTTATCCCACCTGCCACGTAGGATGTAAACGTGGAAATGGTCAATCCTAGTCAGTAACACTCCTATAAAAATTACATCGCCTCCACTGTCTCCTCTTTATCCTTCTTCACACATAAACACTCTCACCCTCTCTCTTCCTTTTTAAACCGATGAACTAAAACCACCAAACTCTAAATTAAAGAAAAAAAAAAATTAAAAAGGAAAAAACTTTCATTTTTTCCATTTTCTCTCTCCTCCATGAATATTTAGTCTAACCGCTTCACCTCTCTCTGAGAAATAATGGCAGCAAATTCGTGTGAGTTTGAATTTGAACACTGATTTTCCCTTTCTTTTTTTTTTTATTGAAGTGTTATTTTATTTTTTCCTGATTAAGAAAAAAAAGTTGAGTTTACTTAGGAGAGTTTACAAGTTATTCCATGCTTTACCTCGCAAATCACAAGGTGTTGAAGCATTTCTAGGGTATAATTTAAGCTTAATCTTTCTCGGATTCCGTGAATTATATATATAATTATAGTTATAATTGTAATCAATAATTAATATTTAGGATAAAAAAATTGGTAATCGGTTTGTTTGGAGATGCGAGAAATGGCGATGAAGCGCGATTTAAAGATTATCTACAACAATTGATATTCGAGAAAAAAAAAGCGTAAAAATCGAGCTGAAATTCGTGTTTTTTGGGAGGTTAAAATGACAAAAATGGAGTACCGAGGAATTAAGAAAAGCGAAGCTTCATCAGAGTTAGTGTAAACAAAGAGGAGAGATAATTTTTGAGGTTTTTGGTGTGGAATTTGATCATCAACATCATCATGCCGTTATCGATGAAGATTCAGCCGATTGACGCCGGCGCCGGCGAAATTCCGGTGGCGGAGCCGGCGAAGCAGCCGTTGGTGAAGTCGCGGCTTAAACGGCTATTCAGGATCTCGGTTTCTGAGCCGACTGTTCCGGTGGCTTCGTCGGAGATGTTTGAGCCGAGTTCAGTTTGTTTAGCTAAGATGGTTCAGAATTTCATCGAGGAGAGTAACGAGAAACCCTCGCAATCGTCTGCGGTAAGGTGTGGGAGGAACCGGTGTAATTGCTTTAACGGCAACGGAAGTGACGGGTCCGACGGTGAGTCGGATAACACTGTGTCCTCCGCCGATGTCTGTGACTTTCTCAAGGTAAGCTGAAAATTGGCTTAATTTGATTGTGTACTCGATTGTCGTCTCATCGTTTTTGATCGTTCGGTTGGAACTAATTGTGGTTGTTGTTGGTTGTCGAGTGCAGAGTTTGGTGGTGTGTGCGAGTGTGAATGAGAGGAATGTGTTGGCTGATACGGCCAAGATTGTGGCGGAGAAGAAGACATGCAAGAGAAAAGATGAGCTTAGGAAGATTGTTATTGAAGGTTTAATGGCGCTTGGGTATGATGCTGCCATTTGCAAATCTAAATGGGAGAAATCCCCCTCTTTTCCAGCTGGTAATTTAATTTCCTCTCAATTCAAATAAATTTTAGCTTAATTTGGTAGTTTATTTGTTCTAATTGTCCTGATTATATTCCAAATTTGATGTCTGAATGCGAAATATAGAAGTT